TGTGAATTTAGGGTAAACAACGTGTGACACAGGGCTGTCAAATCCTCTTATTGGAGCCTGGTTCTCATTTGAGAACATGTGAGTAATCGGTTCAGCTAGTTGGCTATATAAAGGGTGAGGTTTTGTTCCATTTTTTCAATCCATGTCGTCAGTGAATTCCCTAGGATACATCACATTCAGCTTTAATGTTGATTCAATAATAAAATTGTTTTCATCCTCTTCTGACTTTGTGGGCAGACGGATTTGGTTTGTAATTCCATTTCCTCAGTAGCAGATAAGAGGCTGAAACGAAAATCTATCAGAAAAATGAACTAGCAACTGACATTCACCAGGACCTTTGGTTTTGGCCAGCCCACACCTTACTGTCCATCACTTGTCTGTCAGTGTGTTGTACTGTGGTGACTTGTGTGTGTCTCTGTAATGCTGGAAGTTACACCACCAATATTTCAAATACCAGCAGGGTCACCCACGAAGAACAGGTTTCAGCAGAAACAGTTCAGATTAGGAGGAAAGGTCCGGAAATCTACTTCCACAATTAGCCAGTGAAAACCATGTGGGTCACAAGAGCATGTTATCCAATTACGATAATCATGAAAACAGAGCAGAACCAGGCACCATTTCATTCTGGGGTATATGAGTCAACATGAGTCAGAGCCAACTAGCCCAACAGCAACTTAACAATAGCTCTAACTATGCTGTGTCCTTCGTCTCTCATACTTCGGACGTATTATCAGAAGGGACCAGTCCCTGGAGAAGCACATCATGCTTAGTAAAGTGGAAGGTCAGTGAAAAAGAAGAAGACCCCCAATGAGATGGATTGACACAGTGGTGACAGCAATGGGCTCAGGCTTAACAACAACTGTGAGGATGGCATGGCACCAGACAGTGTTCCATTGTAGTGCATAGGGTTGCTATGAGTCGGTACAGACTCAGCAGCACCAAACAATAACAGCATGCTCCATCCAGCCTATCCTGCCCTTCAAGACCCCACCAATCCTTCTCCACCTGCACCTCCCTTCCCCAGAAGCCCCAAAACAGAGGTCAGTGTCCTTTTCTGTAAAGGGCAGTAAGTATTCCAGACTTTGTTGGACATACGGACTCTGACAAAATGACTCAACTCTGCCTGATATTGCAAGTGTAGCCAGAGACAATATGCCCACAGATGAACACAGCCATGTTCTACTAACAATTTAGACACCAGTCTGAACAGGACCACAAAAGGTCCTACACAGAGGGAGAAAACACAGAACAAAATTCAAAACCATAAAAGAAGACCAGACTTACCTGTTGGATAAGAGACGGGTGGAAGCCCCAGGACTGTAACCCTTAGACAGCCTTCGAATAGAGCAGTAATCCTCTCCCACCCCCAGCCCCCCAGGGACCACCACCTTATAGCCAAACAGCAGACAAGTCTATAAAGTGAACAATAACACTCATGAGGAACATATTGTCAGAACAATTACCCATAGGAGACCAAAAAGGCAGCCTGAGCCCCAAGACAAACCTCAAAAGATAGGAAGGGGCAGAAAGAAGGATAAATGGAAAAGGAGAACCCAGTGAGGAAGTAGGAAGAGTGCCGTTACAATGAAGCGATCACAATTAATGTCATAAAACAAAATTATGTTTAAATTGTTGAGTGAAAACCTAAGTTGATCCATAAACCTTCCCCCCAAACCACAATAAAGAAATAGTAAAAAAAAAAAAAAAAATTCAGACACTGAAAAATGAATTTCAAATATTTTCCCATATCGTGAAATACTGTTTTAACTGTTTTTCAACTATTCAAAAATGGAAAGTCATGCTTAGCTTAAACCCACTGCCATACTGCCATCTAAGTCAATTCCGACTCACAGCGACTCTATGTATAATAGAACGAAATATAACCCAGTCCTGCACCATCCTCACAATCACTGTTCACTGAGCTCATTGTTGCAGCCACTGTGTCAATCCATCTCATTGGGGGTCTTCCTCTTTTTCACAGACCCTCTGCTTTACCAAGCACGACAAGATGACTAAAGTACGAGACACACAGTTTCATCGTCTTCACTCTAAGGAGCATTCTGGCTGTACTTCTTTCAAGGCAGTTTTGTTCATTGTTCTGCCAATCCATGGTACTCTCAGGTTTCTTCTCCAGCACCATGATTCAAAGGCATCAAAAGTAGACCAAGACCCGGGGACCATCAAGAAGAGTGGAGTGCGGGACCCTATCCAGAGAAGCAGTGACACCAGAGATGGAGGCAGAGATGATGATGTGGAGAGATGGATTGACTGGGGACTCTGGACTCAGGGAGAGAGAGCACTGTGTGCTGGTGGCCAGGAGGGCAGGCTTGCAGGGTGTACCCTTTGGTTGTTTGAATGGTTATATATTCCTGAGTGCTTCAGTGTACAGCCAAAAATAAAAAAATAAACAGAGGGAATGTAAGCAAATGATGATGCATGGAGGGAGCGAATTGTAATTATTACAATGAAACGAAAGACAATAGGATGAATGTAAAATTGATGTTCTCCCATGTAAACTATCACTCAATTCACAATAAAAACTTGAAAAAAAAAAAAAAAGCAGACCAGCACTCTGGAGAAACTAAGAGCCTCAGCAAGGGGGAAGTATAACTTTCAACCTTTGTAACACACGGACATCACCGGGGTCTGCCATACCAAGGTTATGGTGCAGATTAACTGAAATTAAGAGCACTGGACTTTGAACTACAAGGTCAGCAGTTCAAACCCACCAGCTGCTCCTTGGAAACTCTATACAGGTCACTATGAGTCGGAACCAACTTGAAGGCACTTTAACAACGGGAGCTCTAGTGGCATGCTGGGTAAAAGTACTAAGCTGCTACCAGATGGTTAGCAGTTCAAACCCACCAGCTGCTCATAGGTGAAAGATGTACCAGTCTGCTTCTACAAAGAGGACGGCCTTGGAAACCCTTTGGGGCAGTTCTCCGTCTGAGTAGAAATTGACTCTGTGGCAGTGGATTTGGGGTGGTTTTTTTTTTTTTTTTTTTTTTTTTTTTTTGAGAGATTCTTTAGTCCCTGAGTGGCAGTGTTTACTAAAATGTTGGAGTCTCTAGTCTACCCAGAGGCACCCTGAAAGAAAGGTCTGGTCATTCACTTCAGAAAAATCATCCAGAGAAAATGTTACAATTCTATTCTGACACAAAGATATCACTAGACAGCAATTGGTTTGTGTTTTGTTTTAAGGGCTCTTTGGAGTCCTGGTGTGACTCTGTAGGATAAGTACTAGTTTGCAAACTGCAAGGTCAGCAGTTCAAACCCAGCAGCCGATCTTTGGAAATCCTATACGGGTCACTATGAGTCAGAACTGACTGGACAGCACTTAACAATAACAAGGGCTCTTTGGTGCTTGGCTTCCAGCAAGGCCTCTATCAATGTTTACTTCCTTATCAACATCCAGCTCAGCCAGAACTGGGAACACACATAGGGGACTGGGAATTAGTAAGGGGGTGGTGTGTTGAGACTCCTTTAGATGTCCATTCTGACACCTGATTCTGAAAAGAAAAACCTGCCTGCGGCCCTCTCTCAGGTTTTAGAGAAATCCCTCCCCCATTCAGGGACAGCTGGTGAATAAATGTCAGGCATAGCTCAACCAGGGGTGGACTTTGAACGAAGGACAACTGCAGAGACAGGCAATGGGCAGAGTCTCCCCCTGTGTAGGCCTGCAGGGGTTAGCATACTGGGTGGACTCTGCTCAGAGCCTCAATATTCCCTGGCAGGGGCAAATACTTAACCATTCAAAGAAGTTAAAAAATTCTTTGCAAAGGATTCCAGTGGCTGAGTGATTAAACCTATCAGATCCAACAGTGGCTACAGGTACCAACTGTTGTTGTTGTTAAGTGCCGTCTAGTCAAATTCAACTGACAGAGATGTGTACAGGGTTTCCAAGGAGTGCCTGGTGGGTGTGAACTGCAGATCATGCAGTTAGCAGTCCAGTGCTTCTCCTACAGTGCCACATTAGGACTCCAAGAGTACCAAAAGTAGTAATAATACAGTGAAACTGCAAGGGACTTGTTAAGTTTCTCCGCCTTTGACAAGGTGTACTCACCACTTTCTATTGTCCTGGTTGGTAGACAATACTGGAGTTTTCCTCCTCTGACAAGTCCCTGCCTTACACAGTTTCCATCTTTGGCAGGTTTTACTGTAGCTAACATTTAAACAACTTTTATCAGTAATCAGGGTCTCATTTAACCCTCACAACTCTGATATGGGAGAAATGCAACCATGATGACCATTTTACAGATGTGGAAACTGAGGCTCTGGGCATTAAGTAACCAGGTCAGTGCCACAGGAATAGTTAAGTAATCTACTTCTAAAACTTTATTCTTATATTATCTCCCCATCATCCCCTCACCCCCACTGTTCCTCTCCCTCTCTCCATGGAACTCTCTCCAGGGGTCAGCCCCACCTTTCTGGGCCGCCACCACCACCCTCCTTACAGAGCAAAGATCACGCAATTCAGAGCCGAGCGAGTGCGCGGACTCGGAGGCAGAAAGAGCTATGTAGACCTGTGCATGCCGTGCAAGCGCCAGGCCAGGGGTACAGATGGACCCCCAGATTCCTCTGGGTTGCCCTCACGGGCTGCAACTGTACGCCCCGAGCCCCGGGAGGCAGCCCGCTAGTCTCCTCCTCGCGCCATCCCCAGCAGCCCCCTGCAGCCCGGCAGTCCCGGAATTACCCAGTTGCGGGCCCGGAACGACTGCACGCATCGGGATCCCAGCGCACCCCTGCCGCCGTAAATCAGCACCCGGCGCGCCTCGCCTGCTGCCCCCGCCATCCTCCACCTTCGCG